CCCGGCCCCTGCCATTCTCAGCTGGCTTCATGCGGTGCTGGCCGGGCTGGTCCGATTACTGCTGTGTTCTGTGGTCTTGGCCATGAAGCTGGGATGTGGTGCCAGCAGCAGACAGCAGGAGAAGTGGCAGTAAGCAGGAGCATGGGGCCTGCACCGGTGCCTCGAGGCTGAGAGCAACAGGAGTGAAGAGCCCTGGCTTGGTGGAGCGCTGGAAGGGTCTCTGCTTGCCATGGGGTGGGGGGCAGACTATGTGCAAAACCTCCCCCTCAACACATTCCACAACCCTCCCCAGATCCACCTACGCTCCACACGTACACCCCACGCCTACCAACCCTCCATACATACACACCCACACCGTCCCCCACAGCCCACCCACAATATACAAGAGTAAGACTTCATTTTAAGGTATTATACTATCACCTGTAAATTACACTACACACACACTGGTAAATCAGGACAAAAATATTTTTTGAAATGAAATTAAGGGATGTTGTAGTACGTTTGATTTTTTTAGTATATGTTTCAGTATTTTTCTGGTTCCTAAGTGGAAAACCCCCTTGCTAAAGGGAGTACTTATGGGAGACAAGGGGAGGAACTTCTGATGGCAAAGGTCAGGGGTTAGAGGGCAGGACTTCTGATCCCAAGCTGGTGACCAAGAGGCAGGGCACCTGTCAAGGGGCGGGGCTACCCTTGTGGCCCTCAATGGCTTGCCAAAATTCAGAAAGCGGCCCTTCGCCCAAAATAATTGCCTGCACCTTTGTTTTATTCTCTCTTCCTCCTTGGGGAAGGAGTTATCTCAGTAATGGCTGCTGTTACTGGTTGACATGGAAGAAGCACTGATGAGCTCCGCAGCGAGCTGCATCCATATTTTACAACCAGGAGGGCAATGGGACATGACTTAAGACCTTTGAGGATTGAAACAGAAAAAAGGGGAAAAAATTTTGGAAAAAATATCCCACAGAAATCAGGGGTGTAACATGTATATTGAATTAAGAGATGGATTCAAGCCAGTGATGTGAATTGTGTTTACCTGTTTTACTACATCTTGGTAATATATGGCATACGTCACATGATTGCTACTGTATTCATATAAAGTAGGACATGGTTTAAACTTGAATGAACTTGAACTTAAGGTAAAGTAAAGTAAAGAGAAAATCTTACTATTTTCAATGCCTTCCAGATGTGTTTAGGGAGCCATCAGTTAAAGTATAGCCAAGTTATTCTGTTGGAGGATTTCAGAGAGGGCTCTACTGAATGTCCCCATGTGTATATGGTGGTTTGAGCCAACATAACCAGAACTAAACTAATTCACTCTGAAGTTTTTGGTGTCTAGCATTTTTGGTAGCTTTCCTTAAAAATGCGTTCTTGAAATGCCTCTCAGGTTTGCTAATATTCGCTTTAATTCTTTACATTTTTATTTTCCTTAGTTTCAACATACACTACAGAAATAAACATAATACAGTACGTGTTGTGTTACCTACCTGGAAGGCTAGGTGTTTTACAAAGTCAGTATCTATTCACTAGTTCTAGATGAAAATGCTATTGTTTCCTCTGAAATTTATCTTTTTTTTTTTCCTCTTAAATTCCTAGGTAGCTGCAGTAAGCACCATTGTAAGCAGAGGAACACCACTGAAAGCATTTGTTTTCAGAAACTACAACCACCTTCCAGGTGTCAAGTCTCATTATATTGGAGGATGTCAGTATAAATTATGGCAGGCTATTAGAGCATCATCTGCTGCACCAGGTTACTTTCAGGAATGTACACTGGGTAATGACCTTCATCAGGTAAGTTTGAAAGAGTATATTCCAATAAATATGCTCTTATGTTGAATTTGGTTAAAATATATATGAATAATGAAATACTTACTGAAATCAGAATGAAACAAGATAATTTAAATTAGGAAGTAGCAGCAAAGAGAGAGCCCAGGAATATTAGGGAAAGGAAAGCTAATTCTTAGCTTTCCTAGGAATTATACAGCTGTAAAGATAAGCATAAAATAATAGTGGCAACCATGATCCATACAGTTGGGTACTTACAGTCCTCATTCTAGAAAGAAACATTATATGAGAGTTGCAGATTTCTACAAAGTTCCTGCTTTCAACTGGTAGTTTAAGTGTTATTTCATTAAACAGGTGCTATGACTTAGTATTTAACAACAGCATAAAGCAACCTTTTCAACTCCATGGGCTGGAGTGACCCAGCTCAGGTCAGAGGTAGGCAGGTGCAGGACCCATCCACCACTGCTGCTTTCTCTCTGCCATAGCACAGGAAAAGCTTCCACTAGTTCCACAGTCTTAAATTGCCAGCCCCTGGCATAAAGTATAAAAAATGTGAATGGATACTAATATGGTACTGTAACTTAATTCCTCCTTAACGAGTGCCAGAACTCTCAAAAGAATTCTGTTTGCTGTCTCCTGAGACTATGTGCTTGTATTATCAGATTGTGCTGCCCTAGTAATTTCTCTTGTAATTTCTGCTTTTACTGACTGTCAGCAGTGTTTATCAGTGGTGATTGAACTGGAGACCTTCAGTTCCAAAGGCTCTAGAGCTAAAATAAAAATTGGATTACATTGTAATTATAGTGAACTCCAACCTTGCATATGGAACAACTACTAGATAAGGGTACAGCACACTTCAGCCAACAAGTGATACTTAAAGCAGGGCAGGCCACATCAGGAACTGCATGTTGTGCAGGCTGCACCAGGGTGAGCCACAACCCCTTCCCCCCACCAGTCTGCACACCCTGTGGATGTTCTGCCTCCTGCCCCCATTACACTGTGCACCCATGACTCCCTCCACCCCTGCACCGTGCACCCACAACCTCCTTCCCCTCTCTTCACCAACTCCCCCAGTACACTGCACCCACATAACCTTGGCTTCACCCTCAGCTCCTCATGCTGCAGTATTGCTCCACCCCTTGGGCTGGGGGCAGGAAGTGGCAGCAGGGGCAGATGGGAGACTCCAGTTGCACTTGCAGTCAAAACACTTTGGGGGTGCACTGTCTGTGCACAGCTTGAAGGCTGCCAGTTGGACAGTGACTTAGACTATTCTCTGATTTTTTCCAAGTGAGTTACATTAGTGTCATTTTTTGCAAACTTCTCTGCAAAGATCCATCATATAACTTGTCTGAATGATGAATACAGAAGAATCAGTCTGTAAATAATTGAATCGTATCTTTTTCTAATAGAGACGAGTATTTTATTTAGCATATTAGGAGGAAAAAGTAATATAGAATAAAACTGAGGAAAAAAAACATTTTAGATTGAATCTAAAGAGAATTTCCTCACAGTGAGAAATTATATAAGAGTTTTGCTGTGGAATAATCTCCTAAAGTGGTAAAAGTCCAAGCTCTTTACATGTTTTCCAAATATATTGTGTGAAACAAGTCCTGAGTGTAATTACACAAAACTAAATGTGTTCATGGTAACTGCAGAACTTGTATCCATTTTATAAATTTTCCACATAAAGAATCTAATTAATGGGGGGTCATTTTATAATCAGGATTGTCTTATGTTCGAATAAATACAGTAGGTAGAGACCTACCAAATTTGCAGTTATGCGATATTTGCAGAAATCGTAAATTTGGTAGGTCCCCTGTGAAAAAGCATGGGGACCACAAAAAAGCTGGAAAATGTCCAGCTAGCAGGGAGGGAGGGAGGAAAGGGAAACAGAGGCAGGAAGCTCTGGCATCATGAAGCACTGTGGGGCAGGGACGGGGAATTTTGTAGCGGAGTCTGGTGTGTCCCCCATGTCTCTGGCCAAGGGGCTCCAGAAGTCCTGCCCCTCCCCAGAGATTGACAGGTAGCTACCTGTCAATCTCTGGGGAGGGGGGAGACTTCTGGGGCCCTGTAGCCAATCAGAGGCATCCACAAAAATGGTGACTGGCGCAGCGACCATAAAATCAGAGGCAGGGTAGCCCCTGTGAATTAGGTAGTTCCCTAAAAATAGGACTTCAATAGCGCTCAAATTTATTTCAGTGCAGTTTTTCAATTGAGTGCTGCCTATATTCACGTGCTCCAATGTTCCAGTTAGAGGATATCGGAGCAGACTTAATTTAATCAAGTCTGCTGAAGCAGACAGGCAGGAGTACTTTAAGCTTGTTGAACAAGCTTTAATTAAAGCGCCCCCACTGCTATTTTGAAATATAGGATGCTGAATAAACGGGATGCTGCAACATTTTAATTAATACAGCTCCCAAGAGCCACTATAATTAAAACTTCCCTTCCCACCACCCTGGAGCACGTGTTTAGGCTTTCTTTTTTTAATCGCATCTATTGTATATTGTTGCATATTCATAGGAGTAAAGTGACTCATTGTATATCCCTACCAGTACAGAATTATTCCTTATTACTCTATATTTTGTTCATTCTGTCCAGTTTTAAATGTCAAGAAGTAGGATTTTATTAACTAATTTCAAGTGTTTGATAAATTTTGCAGTTAGGGAAAATATATTAAAACTTCGTAAACTGCATAACTTTGCAATTTAAGCCATTATTTTTCAAGTATGAATGTTGATAAGCAACTGGCTTACTATAATCAGCAATATAAACTACTGGCTACTAAACATTTCTGTGTAGTTCTTTCTTTTCCACATTTTTTTTATATGGGGAAGATGTTTCTACCAAATCAACCAACCCTGAGAATTCTTCTGTTTTAATGCATTGCTTTGTCATCTGCATTTTAAGGTCATTTCTTTTATGCAGTGGGTTTTATGTGGCATAGCACATGCACATTTTTCATAAGTGCAATTGAGCATGGGAAGAGGAGAAAAATTTAGGGCGTTTTATTTTAAAAAATTAAACATAACAGGCATACATGTCATGCTTATTCACACTTAAGAACTACTTGAGACCTAGCTGTTTGGTCATCTTCTATCTCGGTGGTTCTCAAACTTTTTGGACTGGAGGCACCCCTCTATAACTTTTGTGAATTGAGTGGCGCCCAGTTTTAAAAACTAATGTATATATTATACTGCTTACCTCCTTGCAGGGGGGACAGACAGTGGGGGGCAGGGGGGAGAGGTCAAGGTAAGAAATCATCCAGACAGGGACAAAACTGAGCCTGCACTTACCTGCTTCTCAATTCACACCTCACTTCTCTTCAAACCCTTCAAAGGATCTGCTGGTACCCAGGGTACCTCAGCACCAAGTTTGAGAATCACTGTTCTGCCTGGCCCAGGAGGACTGGAAAAGGTCTCAGTCTTTGAAGGACTTCCAAGCTTAACTGCACAAATGGGTTACTGTTAAGCAGTGTAAATACCTCTTTTTCATCTTCTCACCTTTCCTCCTGCTCTTTTCTTAGCTGGAAAGCACTGTTCACATCAAAGATTGTATAGCTTCTACATCAAAGACTATGTAGAATCAAAATCTGTATGTGTAGCATTTTTTTTATTTTTAAGAATATTTAGGCTGATACAGGCTGCTTTTTAATACCTTAAGGCAGCAGCTGGCAACCTTTTCAAGTTGCAGACCAGAATGGCCAAGCTTGGGGGAGAGGCAGGCAGGTGGGAATGCATTAGAATATAAGAAACATAGGAAGTACCATACTGGGTCAGACCAATGGTCCATCTATCCTAGTATCCTGTCTCCAGCAATGGCAGAAGTAGATGCTTTAGAGGGAGAACATCTCTGGAGTGAACCATCCCCTCTTCAGTACCCTTCCTGGCATCCACCATTAGTTAGAGATGCCAGAGGCAACCATTCTGTTCAATAGCCATTGACAGATTTGTCATCCAAACTTATCCAGTCCCTTTTTTAACCTGGCTATTTTAACTGCCTCCACCACCCCCAGAAAAATTAATTCCATAGGTTAACTACATGTTGCTTTAAAAAGTACTTTCTCATGTTACTTTTAAACCCATTACCTACTCATTTCAGCAAACACCTAGTTCTAGCATTCTGGGGCTTGGTGAGCAACAATTCCCTGTCCACTTGGTTCACACCCTTCATGATTTTATAGATCTCTGTCATATCCCGCCTCAGCCTTCTTCTTTCCAAACTTAAGAGTCCTAACCTTTTATTCTCTCTTGGTATGGCAGCTGCTCCAGGCTCCTGATCATCATAGTTGCCCTTCTCTTTGCCTTTTCTAATTCTGCTACATCCTTATTTAGATGTGGAAACTAGAACCGCACACAGTATTCAAGATATGGGCTTACAGTCGATTTATGTAATGTAATTTTATTTTCAATTCCCTTCTTAATGATGCCCAACATTTTTAGTGGCTGGTGCACATTAAGCTGACACTTTTGAAGAGCTATCTACAGTGACTCCAAGGTCCCTTTTGCGGGAGCATTGGGGAAAGCTCCCCGTCTCTGAATGCTACCCAATCCCCACATCCCTGGGTGGGATCAAATGGCTTTGCAGGTCATAGGTTGTTGATCCCTGTTTTAAGGTCACTGCATACCATTCTGGCAGTACATAAAGTACACAATAGTTTTGTTATACTCTAAAGTTTCTTTTCACTCCCAGAGAGCTAGTGTCATGAAAAATCAGGTCCAGTATCTTCAAGTACATAAGAGTGATTATCCTTTTTGCCTTCTTTCCCCCCTCTGCTCTCATCT